ACATGGAAAACATCCAATCATTTGCAAGATCTCACATGGTTGCAACCCAAGCGCTGCAGAAGACAAAACGAAAGATTTTTTCGGTTACAAGTTACGTTACAAGAGTCAATGTGATCATAAGAAACTCCAAAATTCTGCCACATTCGCATCTTTGAAGAGAATCCCGCAAGTGCAAACTGCATAGCCAACGGACATCGGTGGTGCCAAACATGGATCAGCCAAATTCACCGAAGGCTGGCCACGAAGAACTTCCAGATTGGCACGAAGGGTTGTTTGCAACAGCGCCTGCTCCCACACATCCAACGTCGGAGGTTTCACTTGACAGACATAGCAGCTCAGAATCCGATGTTGATGACGCGTCTGTGTCTTCAGAAGATGTTGATGACCCAGTCCCAAGAAATCCGCCGTTGGAGTTCCAGCTATCGAAGATGATCCAGCCTCCACGGAAAAGCGCGCTGCGCGCAAAAGAGAACTTCCAGCTGCCGAGAAGTCAGGGAAGCAACCGAAAAGGCAAATGGCAAAGACTTCTACGGATGTGGAAAATTTGGACGCTGACCTGGAGGCAGAGCTTGAGGGCTTGTTCGGCGATGAAAATCCTCCTGAGCCCGCTGCCGCCGGAGAACCTGAGAATGGTGGCCCGGAAGCCATTGGAGATGAAGAAAAAAGCTGAAGAAGAAGCAGAGCCAGACGGAGATGAGCAGGCTGCCCTCCCAGGAACAGCCACAATAGTCTGTGACTTTGCTGATGGCAAGGGCGTGGTGGAGTTGTTTGTCGCCGACGCCGAGCTCTTCCTGAAGTCTGACAAAGGTTGCAAAAGCCGCAAGACTGTCAAGCGAGACATTCTGTACGCTTTCGAGGGTGGCAAGGTTGAACGAGCCAAGCAAGGGCAAGAGCCAAACTTCGTGTGGGATGTGAAGAAGACAATGAAACTTGTCTACAAGGGCAAGGTCGTGAGCTTGAGCGACCTCATCAAGTCAGAGAAGCTTGATTCTATCTATGGCTACAACTTTTCGCCGAAGTCCAAAAAGATTTCTGGCCCAATTACAGACGAGGACGGTGCTGCACTTTGGCTTGTAAATTACTGGGCAGCTTGTGTTTTACTTTCGCAACGATTCCTGTTGCCGTGTTCAGCCGCGTGGAGATCCAAACATATAACCCAGAACGTCTGTTGCAGGTGATCCAAACTCATTGGAACTATGACGCGTTGGACAAGTACGTGGGAGAAGTCTTCGAAGCTGCTTTCGCTGGAAGGCTGGCCGAAACGGATGAAAACCAATGTTACTTTACTTTGAGTACTCCAAGCCACGGCGTGTGCAAAAATATATGGTGATAAATATCTGAAACACCTTCTGAAACTCTTTCTGACATATCTTTCTGGAAAAGAAGAGCAGGAAAGGAGATTCCACACCAGTGCCCACATTAAATCGGGAGTTGGCGGTTGAGGTCCGGCGGCGCCCGAAAGGGAAGAAAAGGAAAGGAAAGGAAAGGAAGGGAAGGGAAAGGAAAGGGAAGGGAAGGGAAGGGAAGGAAGGAAGGAAAGAAAACAGGAAGAAGCAAAGAAGGAAAGAACGAAAGCAGGAAGGAAAGAAGGAAAGAAGGAAAGAAATAAGGAAAGAAAGAAGGAAAGAAAGAAGGAAGGAAGGAAGGAAGGAAAGGAGGAAAGGAGGAAAGAAGGAAAGAAGGAAAGAAGGAAGGACGGACGGAAGGAAGGAATGAATGAAGGCAGGAAAAGAAGAGCTCTTACAAAAGACGACAACTCTCAGCTGGCAAGTGGAGAAAAATTCCAGAAGTATGTACTGAAGCAGTGATGAATCGTATAACATTGTTGCTCCGCTCCTCTCCAGTCGACTGAGCTGCGTCTGGATGGTGCGAGTCTCCACGTCTGAGGGGAAAAGCAAGCTGGAGCCGTGTGGGATGGCAATGGTGGCCAGGAAGCGACTGCCCATGTCTCGGTCTGGTGCCCGTTTGTAGAAATGTGAAGCCGGTCCTTCACAAAGAGCTTGCCTGTTCGAAAAAAGAACTTTGTATGGGCAAGCTTGCTTGCCCTATGTTTCACGGTCAGCTTGCTGACCCATTACGTGCAATTTTTTGAAATGCTGCTCTATAATAATCGCAACTTGATATCTCAGAGCCGAGAAGAGAGCAACATTTTTTGGCCAACGTCAAATGTCATCATTTCATACGCAGAATTCTGGGCCCGCATTTGTTCTGCTTTTAGATGGCGAATCTCTTCAGAAATCATGTGGCAATCAGTTTTGGAGGAGAAAGACTTCCCGGACCAGAGTTTGCTGCGCATCAAGCGTGTAAGGTTTCCTTCGAAGGTCTACGACACGATCGAAGACTTCACTTCTTACTTGGACCGTGAGTTGCTAAACCAGACAAACTTGTTGACCCTGAGTTGGGATAAGATCACTATGGAGGCAGAGGACATGCTGGTCTTGACCAATTGTCAGTCCAAAAAGAAGAAGGCCACATGTCAGAAATGCGCGTTGCTTGGCTATCTGAGTTTGACATCATTGAGTGTAGATTTTCAGCATCTCTTTGGCCCAGCTCCAGCTATCAAACCCTGAAGTTGTTCATCAAGAACCTCATGGTGTTCTCCGAAGATGCCTGGTTCGTAAAGCAAACCATGGGAGAAGAGCGCAACAAGGTGCTTGAATACTAACAGTATGTTTTTTTGTGGCTGGGGCACTATCTACTTGAAGCCGTTTTGTTTTTGAACCAGGCATTTCACTACAGGTTTTTACTCAACTTTTTGTGGGGTCAGGTGACTGTGATTTGCCCTGGCGCCCAAGAAGCTGTTCCTGAGCTGCTGGTTGTGAAGAAAAACGAGAAGCACATGACTGAGGCGGCTGTCTTCAAAGCCGGGCGTCGGAACATTTTGGAGGTCGACCCAGAGAAGTTCACATTGCTGCAGATGTATGGCTGACAATGTCAGTCAGGTTTTGAGGTAGGCCAATCTAGTGGCTAGCGCAGTGGAAGAATTGAGTGAAAACATCAACTTGCCATGTCTGGCCAGCTAGCTGGTCTCTCAAAACGGCCAGCTTGCTGGCTCATTGTCATGTCCATGGCCACGGCAGATTTTATGTTGCACGCTGTGATTCATTCATTTCACTATCCTGGGTTGCACCGGCAATATTTTAGCAGCAACATGCAAGGAACAAGAATAACAATGGCTAACGGCTAACACATTTTACATTCCAACCAGCAGAGAAGTCCACTCTCCCGCATCGCGCCCCTGCCTTCCATCCTCACTGCTGTCGTCCACCCACCCGTATCGCGCCCCGCCGCCTTCCACCCTCCCCGCTGTCCACGCCCTTCCACCCTCACCGCTGTCCACGCCCGTCCACTCTCCCGTATCGCGCCCCCGCCTTGCCTTCCATCCTCACCGCTGTCCACGCCAGTCCACTCTCCTGTATCGCCCCTCCGGCTTCCACCCTCACTATCTGCCTGGGCTAAATTGCCAAAGGTCAACTTGTACTCTTCCAAATCCTGGCGTTCGAATTTTTCCACGCACTGTCCACGCTTACAGCACAGCTCTTCACAATCCATGTCATGGACTGAAGGTGGAAGGCTGACTGACTCACATTCGGACGCAGCCTCAGCGTTGTTCATGGGAGTATCTGAAGGCTTGGACTCGCCACTGGAGAACCCGAAGGCCCATCGGATACGGACATTGGGAAGAAGTAACTGAGCCCTATAAGCTTTTGCGAAACAAAATGTGTTGATTGCGCCCAGTTGTTGGCCTTCCAAAAGGTTTTCCAAAAAGTAAAAGAATTTAATGAGCGCACAACGGCGCAGAAGGCGAATGGATGACCAAGTGGTTGATAAACAAATGGGGCCCCCAAACAGATGTATATAAGTATATGTGGCAACCGACCCGTTTTTACCAGAATCACAATCTCATCCAAATTTTTTCGAGTCACAGGTCCTCTTTTTGGGTTTGCCATTTTGCCAGGACAGCTTCAAAGCATATCATGCGAAAGGCCGGACTGGTATTGAGCGCGTGCTGAAGAGGGCGCGGAAGTTGGGCCTGGACAAAATGATGCTGCTGGTCAATCAGGTGGGGTCGGCGAAACATTCGAATGTGGCTGTCTAGTGTTGGAGGCGGGTACTGTTTGGTGTATCGAAACCACTCGGCGCAAAGATGTCGACGTTCCGATTGTCCCTGAGGCAGACCTTGCCTTTCACAAGCGGCCTTTGGACCAGGAGGGGTACGAAAGAAACACGTTTCCTCCGACCAAGGAGGAGGTCGACTTGTTGATGGTCTAAGTCTGTTGAGCCTGCGGTCAATTGGAGGCCTTTGAAGGTGCAAATGTCAGCTTGATCGAAACAGGCGAGGTCGGTGAGGAAAATGGCACAAGAAAACACGTTTTGTTGGGGTTTGATGTGTATACATTATATTAATATTGTATACAGTATACATCATCATGTTTTAACGTTTCGAAAGATGTTTGGTGTCCAATCGACGAGATCTGGGAAAGTTCCTCACGCCCCTAGGTGACTTCTGGGATGACTTGGCCAAGGTCTTCGACTGCATCGGATACGGCGCCCGCTTCGCCTCCACGGGCTACTCCTACAGTAGCCATGGTCCAAAATTTCCTGGTCGTCAATGGATCTTCCTTTTTGGCACGGGTTGACATGTGTTTCACAGACCCGCAAAACGACGAAGCCCAAGAAAATGGGCATTTTGCGGCTTGAAGGACGGAGACGGACATCGTAGAGATTCCGTGGTTGTCACAACTTCAGTTTACCATATTATTTGTGTTATCATTCATGGTTTATCACGTGGTTTCGTGGTAGTGCATAAACTCCTTAACAGCAACGGCAACCCAATCGTATAGACAGAATTAATTGAAACCTAGAAACCCCCATGCGTGAATAGGGGCTTCGGAGCGCCTCTGTTACAGAGGAAATGGCTGGGAAAGAAGAAGGTCCATTTGTTTCATTTTGGGACTCTGCTTGGGACTCGGTTTGCGTGTTTTGGTTTCGGTTTCCAGGAGCTCCAGGTCTTGCTGATGCAGGATGAGGTGGGGAACCGGGAATGGAAGATCAGTGATCTGGATAGCCTGATCGATGGAATCACTCCAATGTATAGATGGATGTAATGTAGAACTCTTGATTAATAACCCACCCGATATGAAGAGGCTCTTCCATCCCAATGGGTTCTTATTCATCAAGAGTCTACATTATACAAAGGAATTGTAATGCATATATGCCTCCATACAGGATGCCTTTGTAATATCCATGGGGACTTAGTTGGGTGTCTAGTTTTGTCCATCAACCGCAGGAGGTGCGGGTGAGGATGATTATTATTCATGTTTCTTCACATTTCTGGGAAAACGAGTGCCGAAACGCTTCAAGCAGCGGCGGAACTCTTCAGGCAGCAGGTCTCATGACTGCGGGCGGCCTGTCCTCTGGAATGGGGCGAACTGTGCATGTTGCCATCTGGTGTGGGGTGTACAATACTCTGTATTCTAGTAACTTCTAGTACACCACGGTCTACGTGGAACATTATACTATGGATTTTGAAGGTCATGATGTTTGGGGTCTTTCCGCAGAGATGAGGGCGGGTGCACAGTGTGCTGCAATGCGGATTCCCACCAACAAGTGGGTGGTTTTGGGTGGTTGTGGTGAAAACGGTCGTTTCTTCATATCAAGAGTCAAGAGTCTTAACCGGGACAGCCCAGGACTGCCATTTCTTTCCAGCATGTCTCACAAAGCTGCAACTGCCCTAAAACCGCACAAATTCCTGCATCATGTAGCCAGAAAGGCGACCCAACACCTATTGTCCAGCACTCGGTTTGTACAATTTTGTACTTGTTTAGAACAATCTGGGTAGTCCGTGCATGGGTTTGGGGTGATATGGCTACGGCCAGAAACATAAGGCTTGGATCACACACCCATGTTAGCCCAAAAGTGAACCAGCGCCCATTGCCACCCACTCTACCCAACCATGGCCCAATATGTGGACAGTGGAGCCCAATGAATTTAGCGGCGGCCAGTACTTCAAAACAGGCTTGCCACAAACAGGATGGCTTTGATCGAACTGGTGAGAAAGTGGTGGGGTGGAGCGCCACCATGCAGATGTGTTTATATCGGAGGCTTGGATCAAGTGACTTGTCGGTTTGATCCATAGGGCTTGGATCAGCGCTCTGATCCATAGGGTTTGGATCACTCTCGCTGCAGCGCGGAACGATCCATAGGGTTTCTTTCCCTCACCTCAAACCTCACCACATCAGGGATCTTCCCGTCACCCTCGCGTCCTCTCACCCACGCACCCACCTCTCGGCCGGCACCACTCGGCCGGCCCCACTGTTCTTGGAAGCGGAAGGCGACCTCCCAAGAACGACCAGGTGGCACGACCCTGGCACCCCGAGGCCGTCGGGACCCGGTCCGGTCCGACCGTCCGTTCGTACCTGGCCGGTGGGCGGCGGCGCCAGGTCTTCCGCCAGAGCGACCTGGCCTTTTGCTCCGAGCCGGCCATCGCCTGTGTGGCGCCACTGGGGCCGCAGATCACTGAAGGAGGGCGGCGGAGGCGTGATCCGTCGAGAAGGAAGACATCCAGATCTAACCCCCCGAAAAAATAGGGCGCATCCATGTGGGTGGGGTGAAAAGGGCTTTCCAAGCCTAAAGAAGTGTTGCAATCCATGTCGCGGGGGTTTTAGTCAATCGAGAGCCCTTTGCAGCTTTTGGATGGCGCGTTTCGGGGCCCTGTCCGCCCACGTCCCAGCATGGCACGTTTCGATGGCACCCAGATGCTTCGCAGGGACCAACCGGCCGGGATGAGGTGGAAACACGAGTTCCTCAGACCACAGACCACCAACCCATCACAACCACCAATCCACAACTGGTTTGGAGCGTTGGGGTTTGGTGGAGTGCCATGGATGAGGGGATCCATGGTCACAGGACAAGACGAGCGATCCCTGGGTCGAAGTGAGGGTCAATGGTGGAGGAACCAGTGGATCTGCAAACTAAAACCTCTTCGGGGGATTGGGGACACCGCCGCACTGAACAAGAACAGGTCCAAAAAGGTTAACCTCTATTGTCCAGGGGTCACAACACAGATTCTTGCAAGCCATATAGTAATTTGAGGACTGAACGTTGAGAAGCTGAATAAACTTACTGCAACATTAACTATATATCTGCGGAGTCATTCATGTGACAAACATCTAGAAGATGATCAGGATGCAGTGTGCGAATTGTTGATGTGCACGCAACAGTTGAGCGCAAAGAAGTCTTTTGGGCGATTAGGGGATTTCATAAACCTGGTTCCCTGTATCACAAGTCTTTATCCAGAGCCTTTGCCAGAGATTGGCCGCAGTGCCAAGGATGCATCGTGCTGGGAAGCCAGTACTGGGCCTGGGCACCCAGAGCAATGACAGCATGGGACCCATGGGATGAATTCTAAGGATCTAATGCCCGTTTGCCCGACCCCCTCTGACCCCCCCAAACGAGAATATGGGATCCAGACAGAACTGCATCTCCCAGCATTTCATGAGAAAACCCCACCAGGTGCAAAGTGGAGTGGAGTTTGATGCACTATGCCGCGCCCATTTGTTTGTTTGGCTCAGCTTACAAAGGATGTCCATCTTCCGATCGCGCAAGGACGAAGTTTTGGTCTGATGGTTTCGTATTGATCCAGGGATTGGATGCATATCAATGGCCTCAGTGTTTTCTTTGTGGATCGGGTGTATGTACCTTTGCAACCTTGTACGCCATATCATCACAATATCGACATTATATGGACCATTCCGAATGGTTCCTTCCCATGGTCAAAGTTGACAGTCTTCCGTCGTTTAGGTCCGGCATCGCAGGTATGGGCGTCCCAGGATGGAACACAAGAACATGAGAGAGGATGACATAGATACCCGCACCAAGAACCCTTCCCCGGAAGCCTTCCACTCGCTTCCACTTGCCTCTTATATAATTTGCTAGGGCTCCAGGTATCTCCTCAGAAGGTGTTTAGACCCTCCTGGCACCCACCCCAGTCCCACCTTCTCAGAAGGTAAGACTGGAGCCCTAGGGTTTGTATAGTATAACTATTGTTATTCACAATAAGGGCACTACCTCAACACACACTATGCTTGTTGGGTACGTGCTGTTTTGTCGGAATCCGCCAAGACTTTGCCCGTTGTGCGCGTGGAACGGAACATGAATCTGGTTTCGATTAGGATCAACCATGGATGAACTATACCAGGACCCTCCAAGGGGTGGTGAATGGACACCCCGAAACACAGCTAAGGGTTAAGGGGCTATAAATAGACACCCCGACAGGAGGGTCCTGGGGATGAACTATATATACCAGCACCTTCCAACAGGTCTCCGAAATGGAGGGTTGGGAAGGGCCCTAACAGGTTTCAATTGGTGACCTGGCAGGGAGGTGCTGGTATATTCCCCAGTTCCTGGGACAAGTGTTGCTCCACGTGTCTCTAGTATGGGAAGATGTGTTTTCTTCTTTTCCCGGGCACGGGGGCAAAGTTTCCAGGCTTGGTCCTCCAGCAGCCGTTGCAGGCTACTTCGGGGTGCACGTCGCCTTCATGATCCACGAGGCGTCGCGAGTCGCGTTCTCCGTGGACGGCGGGTTGCGGCGCGGGTGGCGGTGGCGTTCGTCGATCTTCGCGGCACGTGACCTGAAGTGGCAGTGACGACCGTGGAGGAAGAGCGCCCGTTTCACGCAAGAGAGAGACAGAGAGAGAAAGAATGAGGCCAGTTCAATGGGAGATATTGTTTTTCGTGAATCCAATGTGAATTCTGATATGTTTTTCTTTTGATATTGTGAGGAAGTGTAGGGTTTGTGAATGTGGAAGAAAAGTTCAATTTGTAGAGGAAGGATGAGGAAGGGGATCTTGCAAGAGTTCTCGTTTTCCACAGATTTCTACTGAATGCATGGGGGTGGGGTTGATTTGGAGGATTCTCACGGAACCCTCATTTGTCATCAAGGGAGGCATGATTCTCCCAACTGATGTGTCCGAGGGAATGCTGGGGTCCTCATCTTGAAACCACCAACCAGGAGGGTATTCAAGAACTCAGACGGTATAGTCGGGATTGTCAAAAAAAAGAGGAAGAACCACGTTGCATGACCCCAGCATTGAAACCATTCTAAGGAGGTGTTTGGGGTGGGTGTAGAGGGTCCAAATACCTCCTCTCAGGAGGTACTTATTGGAGCCCTAGGGTATAGAATGCTTGTGACACCACCGGACCCACGTCACCGTCACACAGTCATACCGTGTTGACCTGTAAGCAAGAGTGGCCTCCTGCACGTGGTCATATGGGTGCTTGGAGGTTCCGACGGCGAAGCCCTGAGAAGCTCTGAGAGACAAGCTGAACTTAACCATTTTGGGGACAGGCTGTTTGGAGAAGCAATGCAAGATCAAGCCTAGTTCACACCTTCTTGCTCTCAGAGATCCAGGGCAACGCGGGTAAGGAGACTGCTGCACAGCGCCGAGACGGCGTACTCCGAAAGATGCGGCTTTGCAGGTCTAAGGTGCCTTTTTTGGTATCCGTTTGAATTACAGACCGTTGTTTCACACTCTTCTCGGATCGTCTGGGAATACTCCCCAAATCCATGAACGATCGTATAGGCTGCTACACTTCTGCTTTCTGGTAGACCTGTCGACACTCAGCGTATTTTCAAGCTTTCCTGTGGAAGTTGACCTTGTGACCATGTGGAAGTTGGGTCTGCTTCACTGCCGCGCACCGTACACCGCGTCCGCGCGAACAGGGGAGAGATCAAAAGCGTCTTTATGGGGCTTTTCTGGAGTTGAGCCAGGAGCCCTTCGGACCTGAAACGAGACTCCGAGACGCCGAGACTCCCCGTGCGGCAAAAACGCCTGAGTTGAGCCACCTTCTTTTTATGGGGGGGGTGGTAAGGTTTTGTAAGTGTTAATTACAGAGAATGTAAGAGTTGTAGTAGATTTTGTGGAGGTTCGTAGTCTACAAAGTAGTAACTAATCAGATTTTGTAAGATTCTGTAGTAGTAGAGGTACTTGGAATCTGCAAGTTTGGCAAGTTACTTTTGTCAAAGGGTATGTATCCTGGTGAGTTCAACAAGCATCTAATAGAAAATAGAATAGAATCTGGCCACATAAGGCTCATGAACTCATAGAACGAGTCCTGTATATTCCTGTACAGTTTGAGTTCCTGAACCTTATGGTCGAAACTTGGGCGAACTAATGGTCCAGGGTTTGTCGAAACTTGCAATCAACACAATGATCGGATTCCAGGGCCAAGGAGAAACATGGAGAAACTTTCGCAGCAAAGCAAATGTTGGACTCGTTGACTGTGGCTTGTTGGTTTGAATACCGAGAGGTGTCTTTCCACCCATAGCTAGAAAGCTTTGGTAGAGCAAAGTGTTGCCTTTTGGACTGACAAGGTTTTTGGTCACAGAAACAACTCCTGCCCAAACCCAACCTTCAAGCATTGCAGACAAGGAGTGTCTCTCACACCAAATTTGGGTGTAGTTCTCCTGTTTTCACCCTTGGCATCACCCAATGGATTGGTAAAAATGTTTAAACATGCATTGATGGTTTCACAATGATTCACATGCTTCCAGCTATCCACCAGCTATAGGTGGCCGGGAATTCCACAGGGTTGCCGTGTTTGATGCTTCGTAGGGCACCTCAAGCGGAGTGGGTGCACCTTCGTTGCGCGACCCGACAGGATGAGCGCCACTCGTTCGCCACGAAAGCGCCCTACCTGTCGTTGCAGATGCTCGGCATGGCCAAACGATCATGAGGACGTTGAGGTGGAATCCAAAGAAATGGGGAACGGATGAACAACAAACGTGTTTGACCATGCTTTTGAGGGATTGCTGCAACATGTTCATTCCAGACCACACCAACGATCTTTTTTGGGATGTGTGGATCCATTTGGTTTGTTTCAGGCATCCACGGCTTCTTGGATGGCACAAGGAAGTGCTCGACCATTTGCACATAAATGAGGCCAACTCCATGGGACGGACATATTGACATACAATGACCTTTCTTTAAACCACCCCCCTGACCTGATCGGTCTATATATGAAACATCTTAATGACCAACACTCCAAGTACCGTCATACCGTACCTGAGGAAGTACGACTGGAGCCCTATAGGGCCTATAGGGTATATGTTTTAAAGTATACTCCCAGAATATCCATGGAAGTGGATGGCATGGCCCCTCGCACGTGAAGTACCTAGGGTCTACAGCCATACCTCCTTGAAGCTTCCGGCCATCCGACCGCTCTCACTCTACACACAGCCGGGGCTCCTAGTTCGGATGGGCGGATGGGACACCCTTAAGAATCCGAACGGGCTCTCCATAGCAGGGGTCGGAGAAAGGTCTATGGACAGGGGTCCGGGCCCGAACCAAACCCTATGTGTTTGAGGGTCCGGATTCTTAGGGTAGGAAGAAAAGGTAGAACGCTCACACTCTCCATGAATCTGGAAGTCGGTTAGTCGGCACGTCATCGATGAAACGAAAACACCATGGCCGTTCAGGGAGAGCCTCTGAAGGGGCTGCCTCACCCGACCCACTGAAAAGGAGATGTGCTTGGACCCAGCAGAGGGAACAGATCACCGAAACGATCGGGTACCTTGCCCCGTATGTGAAGCGAATCCGGCCTGTTTCGCATCCGACCTTCAAATGCATGTGACCAGCGTTGCCTACGAGTCAGCAGGATCTTCTTCGACCATCGACCAGCGATTGTGGTCAAGACCTAGATCCACAGCTCGCCTTTAGGCCATGCCTTTCAGGTGCCTATGCCACCGAGAAAAGTCTCTAAAACTGAGCAAAATCAACACTTCAAGCACTAAAGCCCCGCTTCACTGGGTGCCTTTGGGCTGTTCAAACCCATTTCCGGCGGAAAGCCTCCAGATCATTTGGACATCTCACCACATCCCAGTAACCCATGTTTGGTCCAAACCTGCGTTCAAACGTCTCACTGCCTTCACCGTCCACCTGGTTTTCCATCTACCGGCCGCGAGGCCGGTGATCTATTCCGGAGCCGAGTCCCGGGAAGTGCTCCTGAACCGGCGACGCTCGGTGGGCGAGGCCTCGGGTCGGGTGTTCAACATAGGACCGGATAACCCCACATGTGAACCACTTCACCAGACACAGGAGCGGACAATTGGTGGTGGTTGGTGGTTGGTGGTTTCAACCAAAAACGGCACTGCCTGGGTCGAGAATTGGGTGTGAATTGACCAGGCGAGCGGCGAGACGCTCGGTCCGGCGTTCCGACCCCCCTGGAAGGTTTGGGGAAATAGACGGGCCAGAAGGTCTTGCCAGTCTAGCTGTTTCAGTGATCTTTGGGCTTGAAGATGTCCTCAAACCAGGGGTGTCCAGGAAAAGCTCCCCCGAAAGAAGGGTTAAAGGCAGCAAGGCGTGTCCATTCACCACCTTTTAGGGGGCCGTGGAAGATATTCAAAGATGAAAGACTCAAAGATGAAAGGTGTGTGTTATTTTGGAGATGTGGGAGAAACCATGGAGGTTTCCACCGGGACGTTGTGAGGCCGCGGGCGCATTGACTTGTCTTTTCTTTTTCGGGAAGGATCAGTCTGGCAAGATTCCACTGTACAGCAGAAAGGTTAACGCATGTTTGCGGTGTATTCAGTCGTGTGTTGAAATCGGCCAGGGTATTCAGGGGACGAGCCAATGACCAGAGGTTTATCTATGCAGTTTACCCTCCCTCCATGCATGGACGTGGATCGCACCCCCAGTTTGGTCTTCGGAACAGGCGGGAATCTTCCAGGAGCGCCATCCACGCAGCCATGATGGGCCATGATGCTTTCAGTCCTACTTGTTTCTGCGTCAGTGTTTGGTCGTCGTGTCCTGGACGTGTCCACGACGGCGGCGCGTTTGTCGTGCCTCGTGTGAGAGAACGCCCGCTCAGGTCCTGTGCCTTTTTGGAACAGGCGTGGTGGTGGTTCCAGCACGTGCGGCGCTGTTCTCGCACGTGTGGGACGGTTTGGGGTGCAACACGGCTGTGTGAGAGTTGAGGAGAGTCCTGCGAGGGAGTGAGGGAGTATAGTATAGAACCTTATAGGTGGAACATGCACAAAATGTGTGTCGATTGGTCATGGCTTCAGCCGAATCCCCCCTTCAACAAAACTAACCTTTGTCACTTGTCGATACAGCTTCACCCCCTATCGACCTTAAAACCTTTTTGGAACTGCGTGAAACTGTACCAGGATCATCCTGTTTGGGATTGTTTGGGTGTCCTGGCTAGACTACCCAACCCTTAACAGGTCTCCAGACAGGGGTCCAGGAAGTGCTAGGTAGCTTCCTTTCCGTCTCTGAAGCTCGAACGGATTGTGTTCGTTTTGAATGGTGCCGGTGACATCCGGTGACCGCCGTCGGAATCAAAGGTCCAAAATCATGTGTTGAACAGAGATTCTTCAAGTGAGTGGCCACCAAGCAGTCAAACTTGCTGGGTGTCGAGGTCCAAATCATAGGGCTTCTCTTTATTCATGTTCTTCTGTCTTTAAGTTCAGACACTGAACACCTGGCCCTACCTCGAGTGCATGCAACGTGCCTACCCTTCGGCCCAAAAGACGGACCCGCAGAGCTCCTCAGTCACCGGGGGGGTCGCCGCCGGTCGCACCCGCGGTCGGGTCAGGCGCTTGTTGATGAACTCCTTCGCCGAGCTCAATGGCTTCCACTTCAGGCGCTTGGAGACGTCCCAACCACGCAGCGACCGTGACCCGCCGTGTCGTCTTCCATACCCCCGCCGGGTCTAAGACCCCGTGGGTCTTCCATGGTCTGGACCCGTGGTGTCGGCCGGTGCGCACTCCCACCGGCCGACACCGCGAAGGCCTGAACAGATTCCGAGCTTCCGCTACGGAGTTGGAAGAGACACACCCCAGGATCATGCGTCTGGGTGTCTTGGCTAGACTACCCTGCCCTACCGTACTTACAGGTCTCCGTTAGGCACCCGTTGGAAGTGCTAGGCATATCTAGGCATGCTGTTTTTTGAGCCGATCTACTTGACCCATTTTCTGAGATCCACCACAGAATTTGAGCGTCCCGCCCATCCTGACAATAGGAAAGGCACCTTGAGAGTGACCCTTGATGACCCCAATCCTCCTCTATCTCTGGCCTGGATCCCTTCTGGATCCTTCTGGGTTTTGACCTTTGCTAACTGGGCTCGAGGCTCGAGGGATCTGGCAATGACCTGCACAGAACTGGCATTCCAGCGACCTTTTCCAAGTGAGCTCATTTGGTCTCAAATGGTTGCATTGAAAGGTTCCTGACACATCCTGACACCGGGTTTTCATTGGGGTCCTCAGACAAGAGCATCTCAATACGGTCTTTCTCGATCGATGGCAAAATCGGTGTGGTTCGCCCATCGCTGGCATCGGAGGCAAATGTGGTCATGCGTCTCATGCGCGTTGAAGGTTCTATTGTCTGGGGTCCGTCAGTCCAAAAAAGTCATGGTAGACATGGCAACTGGTGCCAGCAGGCCAACAGGTGTTATATTGTAGCAAGCGCCAGTCAACCAGCGTGATGAAGGGTGTTTAAAACACAGCGGCGCCCTGGTGATGCCGCGCCGCATGTCAGCATCCGCCGTTATGGACAAATACACAGCACACAAGTGACTAGGCAGAGTGCAGCATCTAAACAAATCCACTAATTCCACCGACTGACAGCTTTCTCCTTTGCTTTTTTGGTGTAGTGTACTATTGTTGTTTTACTGCACAGTGTATGCAATCCCCTGTTGCCTCACATTCTGATTACATGCATGGCCTGGTTTCGGGCCTGGGGCATCTCTTTGTGGGCTTTGATCGAACAACTAACTTGTCCCCTGCGCCTGCGCCTGATCTAGCAGGTCGCTGATCCTCCGCAAGTAAGGGTGGTAACATGGTGGGCACTGGCCACATGGATTGTACATGGCTGTGGGTCATGGCAGGACCCCAGGGACTCCCAGCCCAAATGAACAGAATGGACGACCTGACGACCTAGTTGCTAGTCGGTCAACCTACCAGGGTGAGTTCAGGCCTCCTGGTGCCACCTGAACCAACCGAGCTCCGAACCAACCGCTCGTGGACCGGCGGACTGGACCGAGCGACGGCGACCGGGGAGGTTTGAAGTTGTGGAGAGACTGGCGGACAAGAGCTACAGCAACTGGCTTTCTCACCGTGCAGGTGGAGACGAGCGGCCGGTTTTCAAGCTGGGGCGATCGATTCTTGAGCGTTCTGGCGCGATCGCCCGCGGAGGTGGATCCGGGGGGGCAGCTGAGTTGTGCTTCGTTTGACTGGAAGTAGTTCGAAGTTTTTTTTTTTTTTTTTCGGTTCCAAGTCTGAGTCTTGGCTTTGGTTTGCCGGTGGACGGCTTCCAGTTGGCATCTGGTGATGGTTTCAGTCTGGGTTATGTTGGGTTCAGATCGGCCCTTGTTGAAGGTCTGTTAACCGCTCCCCCGGGGGTCGACCTGAACGAGCCAGGTCTCAGGGAGCTGGAAGGAAACATGAGGGCCGGTAGCAGCACTGAGTTTGGCTCGTTTGCGTCCCAAGCCATTTGCCATTTGCGGATCACAGCTTGAGAGTTCTGAGAAATAATTTGTAACAACTGACCCACCCCTGACCCACCCCCAGCCCAAAGCCAGGGGATTATAAGGGGACATACTATGACCATGACTAAGACGACTTTGAACCAAAAAAGTGTCTCCAGGCCTTGGCCTTTGGGGCGATTTCCTAAAGCCGCTTCAGGTCCTGAACCTCAGAAGGTAGAACCCCCTGGCACCACCCCATTCCCACCTTCTCCAGGTCCTGAACCTCAAGCTTGCTTGACATGGGGATGGAACAAGACTACCATGTTCGCTGGACGTGACCCCTCCGGGTCGCTTGGGTATGGCCTTGGAGAGAAATGACCCCCGGCATGGACGTGGGAACCCAAGCTGAAGCTTCATGTCTTTTCTTGGAATCCCAAAATTGCTGCTTGGACATCTAGGGGGGTTGAAGCGGGTTTGTGGGGGTGCTTCCGTTTCAGTTCAGATGTGCAACATGCATCCGAAACGGCTTCGGGTGTGGTTGCCCAAGCTGTCCTCAGACCAGTCGTGGAAGCTGTCCATCGCACGGAACCTGTCGCTGGACATTCCCTTCTGCAGTCCAAGATTATGTATCCAGGGCACTGTCAGACTAATACTTACTGTAACACTGCATGTCTGAGACCCTGATGTATGCCGCATGACTTGCGATCACTCCTGAGCTAGGTATAGATTAGATTCTAGATCATGGATTATCATGAATCACTTTGCTACCTCATCATTGCTCAACGTCCCCACCGGCCCTCTCCCCGGGGGTGCGATGCGGGAGCCAGGCATCTACTACCCCTATGATTGGCTCCAAACGATGCTTGGCCCGGATGGAAGGGAGAAGGAACTTTTGAACCGGTGGTGCCGGATTGGGTCATGATGGTGGATGCAAGCTGGAAGATGCAAACTGGCGGATTTTGAACTCTTCCGGAGAAGAAATGCAAAGGAATGGACCTGGACTGGATTTGGGGTGGAACTGAACTGGCGTAGGAAACTCAAGCTGGATTTGGTACCCGATGCCGCGCGAGTTATACTCAGAAAAGACGTATACCAGCCCAGACCCCAAACAGCTATACAGTTGGCCAAGAATTATTGTTGTCGTGGGCGGACGCAGCCCCACCCCGTTCCCGGAAAGCAACGTAAAAAGCACGACAGCAGCAGGACAACAGAAAGACCAGAGGAGGACATATGGACGGAGGACGGACAACAGAGGACAAAAGGATGAGGGAAGACAAACAACACGAACACACCAAGACACCAAGAGGACAAAAGAAGGACAAGCTGTGACCGGACTACGCCAAAAGCACCACAGGACAACATGAGGGGAGCATGCCAAGAGGAGAACAAGAGGAGAAGAGGAAGAGAAGACAAAAGAAAGACAAGACGATGATGGGAGGAGTACGACCGGAGATATGCTGGCAGCCGCGGCCAATGAAGACTCGAAGAAGGACACCGGACAACAAGAAGACAATAGAAGAACATGAGGAGGACAGGACCACGGCCTGACACTGCGGCCAACTTTTTTCCCAAAGGAGAGCCCCACAAGAAGAGGACAATAGGAGGACAAGGAGAGGACATCGGCTTCTGGGGCTGCTTCCTGGATTTGTCTTTCTGGCGCCTCGCCGCTTGGTAGCGCACGCTTGCATGTTGTCATGTTCACATGCTGATAGGCTGCCACTTGGCCATACAGCGGCACTGCGGTCTTCGCGCTTGCCCGCTGATGCTTTCCCACTAGACGCGCGATTGCTTTCACGCATTGGACCTTTGATTGCGCTTGGTGGTGTCATGTCTTCATGCTGCCATGCTGTCATCTGGGCAACAAGGGGACAACAGGAGGACAACAAGAGAAGAAGAGGACGACAACAGGAGGACACAGGGTTGGCCAGCGCGGCCAGAGGACAAAAGCAGGACCACAAGAGGAGGACACAGGGTTGGCCAGCGCGGCCAGAGGACAACAGCAGGACATCTGCAAGCGCCAGGAGGACAAGAGGAGGACACGGGGTTGGCCAGCGCGGCCAGAGGACAATAGCAGGACAACTCCAAGCACCAGGGGGACAAGAGGAGGACAAGGGGAGGACAAGACCCGGACACAGCGTTCAGGGGCGCGGCCAGCGACTGTGGCCAGCTCTTTTTTCCAAGAGAGAACCCCAACAGTAGACTGCCTGGGAAAACCCTTCTCTATTGAACTTGGTGTTGGTGATGGTTAAATCTTGTTAACATATGTTTATAATTTGTCAGGTAATTAAATTGTCGACCGCGCAGGGGGACAAAGGTTACAAGCAAGGAATCATGTCGCTCCTTTGACTGCTCCTTTGACTGGATTCGCTTTTTGGAAATACCTAGTGCACACAAGATTACGCGTCACTATCGTGATTATAACCGAAACGTTTCTATTTGACATTCATCCACTTGTAGTTCTTTTCAGATAGGGCTAGGAGAAGGCAGCTGGGAGAAAAAGAAGTTGGGAGAAGGGTGCTCGTAGAATGGAAAACTAGGAGTTTCGGAAACGATGGAAAGGAGTTGGGGATAAACAGGGTGCAAAAAAAGTGGGAGGAGGGAACTGCATGAAGGGTTGGAAGAAGGAGACTCGGAAAACATCCGGGGGAAATGGATTTTGGGATAAAAAAAGCGCGTTGAAGAACCCGGGAAACTGCCCCAACTCTTGCAAGAGTGCCGCACCAGAGAAGTTGTCCATGAGAAATTGATCCATGAGAGGCAGTGCCCCAAGATTGCTCCGCGATCTTGGCAGATCGAGAACGGCAGCCTGGCCACCTACCTGGCTTCTGATACTTTGCGCTTTGCCTCATATCAGTCGCAACTTGACTTGCACCGTTTGCTGCCTGAGCTGCATCCTGAGCCGCGCCTCCTTATGGGAACAGGATGCAGATTGCAAAAGCGCATCCTCACGAGAAAGGAGCTAAGGCGAAGTGGAGAGGGTGGGCCTTTCTTTTGATCAAGGTTCAAGTCGACAATAGAAACGGTACATTAAGGAGCATCCATGGTAGTTTCATCCAGAGAAGTTTGGTCCTGGACCTCAGTGTTTTCTATCTCGATCATGGGGTGGACCCTTGAGAGCCTGGTGGCCATGGAGTTGCCGCCCTTTGCTGCGGACGTAGGCCTGTGCAGCCGGACCCTCGACGCCGAGCTTGCAGCGTAGCGACAGGGGCAACAGCACAGTGTGGTCACTGCGCACAGCAACTTTGTTGCTGCCCGGGCCAACTTACAAACCTGGTTTTGCTATAAAGAGTTAACTTAGTTAGCGCAAGATATAACTGCTTACTAACTAACTATGTGTTAACTATGTATTTACTCTGTATTAAGTATGTATTAACTATGTTTAACCATGTGTGACTGTTAGCCTCAGTGAACATGAATTAGGAACAAGTTAGCTATTTTAGCTGACTCATGTTAACTATGTTAACTCACTATAATTGTTTGTATATTTTAGTTCAAAAAAGTGTATTTATTATGTTTTAGTTAAAGTGTATAAATATACTTACAAAAAACAAAGAACCAGGTCTTGAAAAATAGATATTGGTTATAGGTTTCTAAGCACATGTGCTTTTGTTTGATGGAAATCAAAAACAAAATTATCCAATTGTTTAATGAAAAGTTGTTCGCTTTAAAAGACATTTCCGTGCCTTACAAAGCTGGTGCCACCAGAAATCTTTCATGATTTCCACAAATGCAACATGCTAGCCACAATGTATACACACGCTAGCCACCATGGCAACACATTTCGCCAAGCAATTTTGTTTTCAAGGCCACACATCTAGTGGCAAGACATGGTTTGCTTTTGCCATGGTTCAATGTGTTTAATACAAATTAAGGCTCGAATACAAACAGCCACAGTCATGGTCGAGATTTCCCACAAGGTCACCATCAGCTACAATGAAGAGAAGGCCATCACCGTATCTCCAGATTTGATCAAATCTTTCCAGAACCAACAGTACCTGCACTTGAAGGCCACTTGCTATCCAATTGTCCAGTTGTTGACTGGCCAGAACCTTCCAAGAATGCAAGCCTTGCCGAGTGCAGCCACCTTCAGGAGCTGATTGCAACCAGGAACCAGAAGATTCATGAAGTCATGAATGAGCTTTGCCCAAATGCCATTGCAACAGACCAGATGTGTTTTCTGCTACGGGACGCTTAGCGCGTTGCGGGACGCTTGGCACGTTGCAGGGCGGTGTCACCCTGTCATCTGACATTGGGCGCTTAGCCATCTACAGAGGTGATGGTCGTGCTGGAGCTGCTGGAGAGAGAGGATCGGAGGGCCCCTCGGAGCCTGTGGCGCAGATCGCGAAGGCCATTCAGAGCCAGACCGCGGAGCTAGCGAACCTGGTGAGGTACCAAGGCTCCGGTGCGCAACCTGCCGGAACTGTCAGAGGCCTTGGGAGGCAGTCGGAGGAGCTCGTGTTCCTTATGAGAGCCTGCGGACAATACTCGGTCAAGGTGGGAGAAGGCGAACATGGACAAGGCTTGGCCAATGCCCTCTTAGCAGCGCAAGTGAGCGCATCTACGAAACTACGTCACATGTATATTTGGCTGCCAGCCGCATCACGGACACCGACTACCAAAGCGGTCTCCGCGGTAAGCATCCCATTCAGCTCACGATCGCATTGAAGGAGGCAGTGGGCAGCGGCTTGATCTTTTTCAAGAACCGCAGTGGCGGCATCATGACAATAGATGTTGTTCCTCCCGAGTTCATCATCTCTATCGAGAACACTGAGAACAAGTCCACTTTGTGGACGCGGGTCAGTGCCTCAGGTCTTGCCGATGAAGCCCCTGCAGAGTCTGGAAAAGGAAGCCGACGAAGCCGGTGTTGTGCCTGCGGCTGACCTCGTGTTTCTTCTACTGAGCTTGGCGCCGTACCTGTCCGCAGAGTGTGCCAGACTTAGATGTGCAATCTTGCTTGGTTTGAATCCTGGCGGGCATTGTTGGTACGATGCCTGTTTGATGGCAGCATAGAATCAACGGAGGTGTGCCGACACCAAAAGTTTCTACGGCGGAGAGAGCAGGATCAAGGCCGAGAGCCGGTGTACATAGATTTCGGGCTGCGTCGCGAAATATAGCTGCAAGGAAACAACGCCAAGGAAATTGTTCCAGAGATATTGCAACTATATAAAAAATTGTCCGAACAATGAAGAAACTGTTGAGGGAACTGTTTTAGTGGAGCCTAGTGAGGATTAAGATGCTGAATGAGTTGACGGTCTGTTCTTGACCCATCATGCCTAATATCAAAAAGATGGATCAGTACTTGTTCGGCCTCAGCCGTACATGGGTGTCCAATGAATGGAGCTACTTCGTTTGGCGCCTTTGTGGAGTTTGATGATGGAGGTGGTCTGCCATTTTGTATGAAGCGCGTTGGCAGGTTTTGAGCAAATTGTATGAAGGCAACGTATCATCCAATACTGTCTTGAGCTGTTCCTTGCTGATTTTCCCATCCGGCTGCTGGTGTTACCTTGCCCCCACAAGATTGTCGGACAAGAGAGTGTCCTACAAGAGTTTTCCACAAGAGTATCCAACAAGAGTGTCCTGCAAGAGTGTCCCGCGAGAGTGACGTACAAGAGTGTCGCGCAAGAGTGACTCACAAGAGTGAGTGTCGTACGAGGCGTCCCACAAGAGTGCACAAGAGTGTCCCACAAGGGTTTCCGACAATAGGTCCCGCAAGAGTTCCCTGCAAGAGTGTCTCGCAAGAGTGTGGTACAAGAGTGTACCACAAGTGTCGTGCGTGAGTGTCCCACAAGAGTGTCCGACAAGAGTGTAATGCGGGAAGCAGGTTGTGGGAGCTGCGGCCTCAGAACTGGCGATTTGGTGGTGGAAATGTAGTGCAGGCAGCGGTTTCTGGCAGGTGCGGCCTCAGAACTGTCCACTTGCTAGTGCAAATGTAGCTTCTGGGAGCTGTGGCCGCAGAATTGGCCAGCGGGTAGTACACATGTAGTGCAGCAAGCAGGTTCTGTGAGCTGTGGCTTCAGTGGCCAAATTACATCTGAGTACGTGAATGTCGTACGTGAGTGTCCCGCGAGAGTGTTGCGCAAGAGTTCACTTAAGAGTGTCCCACAAGAGTGTCCTACGAGAGTGTCCTGCAAGAGTGCCCCCCCACGCAGACGAAAGTGTCGCGCTAGAGTGTCCCACAAGAGCGTTCTACACGAGTGTCTCCCACAAGAGTGTCGAAAATGTTTGGACGTTTGTTTTGGAGTGCGTGTTTGCATTCGGGTTCGTGGGTTCCATCTATAGTTTCAATATAGATCAGTTTGTCCTTTTTTCAACATGCACTCGAAAGGGCTTCAGAAAAAAACCACTGGTTTGCGGTTCCACTCACTTGCAGCATGCCCTGGTTCCATTGGGGCCGCGGGAGACTTTGAGGATGGGTTTCTATGATTGGATCAATATGGGCCTGCCGACGTTTGTGCCGGACACACCCATGTACACCTACACCATGCAGGGCACCAACAACAGGCGTGGCAACGGTTGGAGATGGCGGTTCCGTTGAAAAATATGTTGCCTTGATGGTGACATGTTTTGTTTGGGTTTGGTTATATGCTGCTTGTCCTTTTGCCAACCCTTTAGTCAACGCGTTTGTTTGGTTAAGGATTGCTTGGATTCCTTGGATAAAGGCGCCGGGGCAGCATTGCAATTTTGATTTGGTTAAACGTTCGTTGTTTGGAGGAGTTATGTTGGGCAAAACCGTGGGTTCCACACAAAAAAACATCAGTGGACACATCATATACATTTGTTCATTTTTCGGGTTTCAATCCAAGGGGGCGTGCAAGGGGTTTTCAACCAACAACGTTGTGGATGGTGATTTGTGAAAGATCCGCGATGGTGTTTGCGAATGCATGTTGTAAAAAAACAAACGAACAAAACATTGTTTTGTTTTTAAACCTGGTAGAAAGTGACGAGGTCACGCAAAAAGACACACAAACACGTTTTGTGAACATATGTCATTTTGTCATGAAATGAATATTGATCAACCATCATTGGAACTTGGTAGCGAAAGTACCCAATCATAGCTTGTGTGTTTGTGGTCTTAGAAACCAGTGGTTGCCATCAAAATCCGGCAGCTACATTTGTTGGGATCAACATCCTGAAAAAAATAACCATGATGATTTGGTCGCACTGCTGGAACGCGCTTTCTGGGGGTGCGGACCGTCCACCATGTAGACTTCCTGACCCAACAATTCCACGCAAGAAGTGTTTGCCTCGGCGCCGCGGATGGATCGGGTTTCAGCACCGCCTTTTTTTCGATTGTTTGAAAGAGAGAATTTCCACCCCCAGAATGGCCTCCATGGCCTACATGACCGGTGGTTTTGGGTGGTTCTATATACATGGAGCCTTTGGGTACCACCTCGTGGTCCACGTGGCCATCTTCCGAATCCCAAACCGCTCGGTGAACCGAGCGTGTTTTCGGTCCCATGGCCGGATGCAAAGGGAGCTGTAGGCAGCCAAGCTTGCCACAAGATGCGCGCAAACGCACCAGCAAGTGGCACTTGCGCGGTGTATTCCCACCAGCCCAATTCCCGAAGCAATGCAACACTAGATTCATGTTAATGGTCCACTTATAGCTCAAAAGTTCGGGCCCAGTTTCTACAGTTTCGCCAACAAAAACATGGCGCAGCTCTCAGCTCTCCTTCTCGGCAGGGGCTGGACGTCCTCGATATTCGAGCCGCCGCACCTGGGATGCCATTGGCGCAGAGGTTGAGATCGGCCCCGTGAGATCTCTGTAATATACATGCGCAGACCTGCGCCAGATCCTCATAGGCCGAGCCTTTTCTAAAACCAAAAGTCACATGTACTGGTGAGGAACTGACCTCATGAAATGCTAGATTGGATCATACAAAAACGGACCAAAGAGGTGTCCACCCTTGAGGTCAGAAAAACATAAAAAGCATGGTGCCAAAAGCCGTATGGACACATGTTTAGCTCACAGGACGGGACCAGGGCCAGCCCCGGTGTTCCATGGGACAAAAGATCCTGCACGGAATCCGTCGGTACGGACATGAAGAATAGGCAGCCACGTTTACCCGGAGACCCCAACAAAATCATTGTCCACGAAAAGAGTTTAATATCGACACCCTTCATATGGCGTACAACAATCCCTATAGGGATCCATATACCCTCTGAGAAGGAGACACAGTTATGTAGGCTTGAGAAGATATGTGGATCCCTAAGGAATATATTTAGCCTGGCAAGTTTGGACTTGCTTCCATTTTTATGGAGTGATCGATATCCGCAGGAGAAGGAGCCAGTGCGGTGTGGTTTCCGCTACAACAAACAACGTTCAATTACCCCGTTTCACCCTGGCTTTACATCTCCATATATATATATACCTAGAACCTGAATGACCTCTATTTTGGACCACCAACCACCCAAAATAAGGCCTTTTCCTATCAAAACAGAGGTCAAATGGGCTCTAGGTATATATAAACATAGAAGTGGTTCTTTATAAATCCACAGTTTGCATCATCTCTCAGGGACCCCATCCTGCCTGGCCTGGTGGCGGGCAAGCCATCAAGCTATCCTGACGGATTGCCATCCCCGTCTCCACACGGTTCTTGGAGAAGACAACCCCCACCAGGATGTAAGGAGATGTTCCAAACATTAGGGATCCAAGTGCCTTCTCAGCAGGTGAGATTTACAAGCTTCAGCAGCATGTTTTAAAGAGAGACTCCGCCGATTTTTCTGGAAGGCTTTCTTAGGTTGCGCCCTCTTCTTTCTCTGAGAGTCCAGTCGTGACTCCTTTTGCTCCGAACATCAGGGTACGTTTAGTGGTGATTAGGACTGCCAGGTGGGGTATGTCATGAGTCCAAACGGAAGTTCAAGAGGTGAACCCCAAACACGAAGGCGACCTTTCTCCCCGGAAATCCCGGGCGACCACCAGGGGAGTCAGAAATCCGCAACAAACATTCTGACGGAAGAGGCCGGAGGCCTTAGAGGATGGTTAGCTGCGATGGTTTCTTTTTGCAGAGACCAGATGCCTTAGCTGGGATGTCTGGGATGTTGGACCCAAACGGGCTTCTTGTGCGTTTGGCATGCCATGGTTGCGGGAAACTAATTGATCACGACGCTTTGATTTTCGACCGGTGAGTCACTGTCCCTCAGGAAGGAGATCTATCCTTACAGATATCAGGAGTCTTGGCTTGAGAAGCTCTCGGAATTGCACATTTTGGTGTGTGTCCTTTTGCCAGTTCTAGGACCCTTTGTTTCCGTCCATACTATTGCTGATGACATTGGTTGGGTTCCACCGTCATGGGAAGAGTGGTTCCACGACCCCGCCTGAAGCAGAGCAATTCGCCGCCGGGATGTCACTCTCCAAAAAGCCTGGCAAGAGCGAACCACCATGTGAAATGCAGCGTGAAACGCATGGTTCAGGTCCATCTCGCCCCCATGGCTCAGATTTCGGACCCTCAGTTTGCTAGGCTTTTGACCCGAAAACAACATCTCACAACTAGGGCAACTTGGACCGAAGCAACATGCAACACTTTGAGGGTCCATGAACCAACATGGGCCATGGATATCCCACATCACCTCTTTGCAGAACTATGATCTAAATGCGGATTTCATCCAAATCTAGAGCCCTGGTCCATGTCTCTCGACCTTCGTCGCTCAAGTGATGCCATAGTTCGGATGTGTTAGGAACATCACCCCACCCGGTGAAGGAGCGTTCCTCTCAGAGACTCCCGGCAGAGCACCGAACGAGACCGACTCGTGCGTCGTCCTCAGGACTGGGAGGACTTGGAGTCTCGCCCCTCGGGCGTGGTCTGCACGTGGTTTGAGCGAGCGAGCGAACTCTGAGCCTGGTGGAAAACTTGACCCGAAGATCCTGGAGAATCAACATCCCAACATCATGAATTCGTGATTTTTTGGGGGAAACGAAATGAAAGCATACGATCGAAAGCCAGCGCTGGCTTTCGCACGCGTCATGACGCACCAACGGGAGGGGTTGGACCGTTGGGACCTTGAAAGGGGATCCCCAATCATCTCAACCACCGTTCCCAAAAGGAAACGCATTAAAGATCCTCCTGTCCATATCCTCTAGAGAATGGCAGGGGTATTATAACAGGGGGAGAAGTAAACATGATAGAACTGGAATGCACACACTGAGAGTCACTGGCTAGGAGTATAGGACTTTTTGTTAGTTTGCATTTGGGATTAATTTGGGATTACGATCAATGCCCATTGTGCTTTGGCACCCCATCTTTTGGGGGGAGCATGAGCCACCTGAAGTGGACGCCCCAAGGGAGGCGCGCTTTTGCCTCCTTTGGAACCGGGCCAAGGTCAGCTAGTCGGTGAATTGTTTTTCGATGGCACACAGAATCGATGGCGCAGGTGCACCAAACCTGGAGCCAGGAGGTGTCGTAGCGTTGGTGAGGTTCTGACCTTTGCCTGCCGGATAAGTTTTGGTTGAACCTGATGGGTTGAAACCACTGTATATACTAGCTAGGTAGGTACAGATGGGGGTCCGTCCAAAAAGAACGTTCACACGTTGCAGCCAGTCACATGCCAAAGAAACATCAGCCAAAAAACACTCACCTTCGGGTTACTTCCACCTCGCCTCCCATGCCAGTTTGGCCGGTGCCCCAGGTGTTTTCTGGTGGCACATGACTGATTTCAAGGCACGGAAAGATGTCCACAGCCGGTAGAAGAAGGAAAGGCAGTCTAAAACCGTGGTCCTCTACCAACACCTGAATGCACAGGTCAGTATACCCTGCCACTTTTGATGTCAGTCTCCATGTTTCAGCCACCAAAACTCGGAGACCTGGCAGGTCTCGGGTGCTGTTACAAACCATGTGTCGCGTGGACATGGGTGTCCATGTCCTTGGTGATTGGTCCTTCTCACAGACGTTCATGTGCTTGGTTGATTGGATGTTCTTGGATGATATTTCTTTGAAAAACGTAGGGCCGGGTCGTTGGTGCAGAGCCGCAAGCACACTCGGCACGGTCATCTCCGGTCATCTCCGGTCGAGGCACGGACGAAAATCAGCGTCTCCACCGTACGCGGAGCGGTTTTTCAGCTCCATGCAGTCATCAGGGTGTCGATGGTTGGGGTGAAGAACACCGGTTTTCATGCCTAACTTGACTCGAGTCCATGGAGGGTCCAACATTGGACTCTTCAATGTCAGGGTTGAACCTTGACTTATAAGCTTAGATTTAGTGCTTTTGGTTTGGAAGGGATCTCTTACTAAACCACTACAACTTGAACCGCTAGCAAAGGACCTAGGGACTTTCAAGTGAAGGATCTGTCGGGGTACGCAGGACGAAGCTTCCTCATCCAACCTCCACGGCCTATTATTCCTTTCTCCTTTGTGATCCTTTGTGTACTGTATATGTTTACTGTTTATTAGATTCTGTTCTTGCCTGACGTTTAGGGAACGTCTCGAAGACAAGCGCTCCAACAGTAGAGCCTTTTGTTAGGAGTTCATCAAGAGCTTCTTAGGGCCTTATTTCTGCAGCAGTGAGCAAGCACCCTGAAGTTCTATTGGACCGCCTTCCCCCAGGAAAAGAATAGACTACTAGGTAGTTCAATGCTATATATACAAACGATCGCACTGGGGTCAGGTTTTTGTGTTGACATGGGGGATCCCCCAAAAATTCACCACGCAGTTGATCCTTTGCTTTGCCTTTAGGTGATACTGTTGCCTTGATGGGCTCCAAAAAATCCATATCGTACACACTGCACAAAGAGAGACATCATCCTAGGGATTTTGGTTTGCTTCTTTCCTTTGTCAATGAAGTCTCAACAAGTTGTTCTGAGAAGAACAACTTGTTTTCCACAGGGAACTAAAAGCAACAACAACAACAACAGCAACTGACAGCAACTTATCACAAAGTTCATCAGGATTACCCGTAAGGGACCTTATTGGGTCAGCTCCGAAGTTGTTTGCTACAACTCCAAAAGGGTGTAATATAATTGAATAGGCAAACGCCTTTTTCATCTCGGACCCGATCGCCTGGGTCAAGTCCGATCTACGCCGCGTACGGGGTTGGTAGAGACCGAACGGGGCTTCTCCGGTTACACGAAGGATGGAGACCGGGAGGTCCAAGAGGTTCCAACGAAGGAGTTTGAGAAGAGAACGAGCTGGTGTGGAGTTAAAGAGGCTGAATCAACATACGAACTGGAATGTGCATGCACTATATGCACAGTGACTATACCGGCCCTTGTGTAGAGCTGGTGTCTTCACAGCTACAGCTCCTCAAGCCTCCCAGTAAAGATGTTTGTTCATAAATGGTCTCCAAGCGCTTCGAGGGTCCCGAAAGCACTGCTTCAGCTTTTTCATCCTTTTTTCTCACTCAGATCCACCCGAAATGACGAGCGCTCAAAGAGAGAGCGCAAGGACGTCTGCGCCGGTGGCAACGGCAGGTCCTTCCCTGCGTGCAGCTCTTCGTGTCCCTTCCGCACCTCTTCCTGGCGCTCTCCCAGGCGCTCTCCGCGAGCTGCGCCGAGCGAAGGAGGAGCGAACCGACCGGTGCGGTGGGAAGAGTTGGAAGAGGTGAAAGCATGTCATGCAAACATAGGATTAATCACCCCGGCCGTGAATCTGAGCCCACAAAGTCTCCGAACATGGCCCAATATGGAAAGTAGATATTGGTGGCTTATTTCCCTGCCCTAATCCGTTCGTTGGGTACCAGAACCCCCCCCAGTTAATCCGAGCCCACACAACCCATGTTATTTCATTAATGGATTCACTGAGCCATGATGAGCCCAAATGTTACCAGCCAATTCCTCTCATGCCTTGGTTCCTATGAACCCACTGCTTCCGCTCATCAGCTCATCTGGCCTCATGCTCATCAGCTCATCCCCTCTCAAACCTTCAATGGTCCGATGACCTCATTGCATGGTACCTCAGGGAGTGGACCTCATGAATGGTACCTCAGACCTTCTAGACCTTCTAGACCTTCTATGTGGGGTTTAATCCGGTCTTTGCATCAATTAGTAACATTGCAGGTGTTGATTCAGGATTCAGGATGGTGTTTGTGAAGCCGCGAGCATTGCTTTCTATCTGTGAGAAGCTTATCTTGTCGTATCAAACAGGCGCACACTCGACCCAGACCCACCTCGGCTGCCAGGTGCCGATGGCAGCGCTCAGTGCCGAAATGCCTCTGGGACTGGACTGGATGCTGGAAAAACCATGAAACAACCGGTTACCATCGGTTACCGAAAGAAACACCGGTATCGGTACCACGCTCCGTATCGGGCTGAAACTGTATCGGGCTTCATGGGTTGTCCTGCTGCAGTGTCAGCAACACTCCTGCTGGTTTGGGTGGCGCATTACGGGGAGTTGCAACCGTGGTTTGTCTTGGATGATGTAGCAGGTGGCTCCTGCCACATGGAAAGGGTGGTTGTGGGGATTTTGTTGTTGCAACTACGGGGTCAGAACGGAGCACACAGAGATGAACAGAACAGGTGTAATGGGTCCACATTTTTTTGGTGTTGTGTTGACATGTCTTGACCAACCTCCAGAAAATGGACTTTCGACTTTTGAGGGGCTTTCCAGTCGTGGATGTGCACTTCTCACTTCCTCCACACAAAGATGGAACACAGAATCATAACGTAGTTTAACACGGTTAAAAACTGATCAAAGCAGAAAAGCTCATTATTCCCGCTCCTTCAAACTCCATGAACCTGGCGAAAAAACGCCCGCCCGGCCTGCCCGCCTGCCCACCCCGTCCCTGCTGAGAGTCTTCCAACTGGTGGAGCTGAAACGGGCAACTCCAAGTGTAAGGTAATCACCAATCCCTAAGGTCCAGAAGTCCAGAAGTCCTGGTCCACCTCATGAACAGCGAGCCATCTCTTGATTGGTATGAGAAACTCGAGTAAACCAGGTCGACTCTGGACTTGTAGGCAACGGTTCGGCCAAACCCAAGGACCCGTTCCGCCTTCCGCCCCGTCTTCACGTGGCGGGATCCGCTGCTCCGTCCAGCACAGGCGGCTTCAGCACTTGCAACGCACCCACTCCACAGCACCTTGGCCGAGCAGACGAGGAGATAATATGGACGCGTCTAGGGCGGACGAGCGCAGCGCTAGATGCGCGCCTGCGCTAGACGTGAGGGTATCGAGTCGAATCGTATGCGGACGTGGGGAAGGGACGTAGGACGAGGCAGCAATTAGCTGTCAGCAAAGCTGGTCGCGGTGGTGACCAAGCAGCAAAGCTCTGTTAAGAATCAAAAGGACCGAAATGGATCACGTAATAAAGATCGTAGGGCTCAGCGGTCAAGAAGAATTTGCTGTTACACCAGGCTACACCATCCCGAAACGGCCAAGGGCGCCTTCCCAGGTGCACCGATTTGCCTGCCTTTCCACCTCCAAACGATGAAACCGTCGCAACCGAAAAGAGGATGAGTTTGAACACACCCTCTCTGAGGGATCCAAGAAGCACTTAGATCATTCTGATTTCAGAAAACAAGGAACACGACATAAAACACATGGCACATGAACTTGGACACCCAAGCATTGATGGAATCCGTTCCTTGCGTTGGCCTTCTTTTTCCACTGCCCCCATAGGTGTTCAAGAGAGCCTTTCCTATAGATGGAGTGTTTAGTACAACAAAAAGAGACCATTGCATCGTGCTCGTTGGGTCCTCCGTGCTCGTTGGGTCGAACTCCGGCTCGGCCCCACGTCTGGCCAACCTCGGGGACCCAGGCCAGATATTGGCAAGAGGCCTTGCTGAAAGCTCTAGCCCACGGCCAAAAAGGTGACGATCGGATGCCAGATCTCAGCTTCCAGCTTGGCCAGCTAGTCTTTGAGTCGACCCAAACACCATCCGAAGCCTCGGCCCAGCCTCGGCCCAAAGCACGCGAGCTGCGGAGACGAACCACGCCACAGTTGACATGATTTGAACACATCACAGAGACATTTGTAGAGCAAATCTGATCTGATTGAGAGTTTTGGATTTGCTGGTGTTTGGAAAAGATCTTGTTATAGTTTTAGATGGTTTTAGAGTTTAGGGTGTTCAAAGGTCTATGTAGGTCTCTGCTTTACATGTCGTTCTCTCCATGGACGGTCCCACCGGGTTGAACCGCGGCCCCGCGGCTCAAACGACCATGGAGGATCCTCCAGGATCCTCCATCCACTCGGTCCCCGCCCATCCACCACTCCATCCTCCAACCCTAGGGATCCAGTCGTACCTTCTCAGCAGGTGATTGGACCCTCCTTGGCACCTCCTCTCAGCAGGTGTCGAACACATCACTGTACCTGAGGTTCGGGACCCTCCTGGATCCCGAACGCACAACTCCATCCTCCATCCACTCAGCACATCGCCCCCGCCGCAGGTCTTGGCGCTCCATCGGAACTTCCTCTCCGCAGCCTGGAGTCACAAGGCCCAAACGGGCGGATTCGGTCAGGTCGGGAAGGTGGCCCCTATAATGAAGCGTTCAGGGCGGGGGATATGGGCCGGTGGCCCTTCTCTCTTCCTACTGTAGACTTCAGATGACATCATGTAATTATCTGAATATGGGTGAACATTTTGCAAGTGGGTGTGTTTCACTTCCATCTTGGGAGTGCAATGTGAAAGAACGGATGGTCAGATCGGGACGGACTTCCTCAAAGGGGGGCGCCAATTGTGAAACCTCCAGACGCGGCAACACAGGCCTTGGGAACACCTGTTCATTCAATGGGTGTTTAAGACCGAACAACCCATTGTTTTCCTAAGGTACTTTGTGCAGGTCCCCAGGTCCCCAGGTCCAGCGACGTCTTGGTTTTGCATTCCTGCTGGGGTTGGGTGGCTTAGCCACCGACCTCGGTCACACTAAGGAGGAACCCCATGCTTCGGGACCGACGGGGTCGGCAAAAGACAGACGTTGTTCACCAGAATTCCTTACAAGACAACATCATGTTCCAGCTTCAAAGAGGTCACCTGGCGCTCCAGGATCTCCATGAAACACCCCAGCCCACTACTATCCGGGATCTCCATTAAACATCCCTTCGAAGGTCCAGGTTGCGTGGTATTTGGTAGCAGGGCTCTCCTCTAGCACTTGCTGACACGGGTGGGTTGGAGGGAGACCCAGGGCAGCACCTTTATGAGCAGATAAGGTGCCAGCTCCACACCTGGCCTTTGATTGCCAGATCCTTGTTCGATCTACACTATGCATGTTGTTTGTTTGTTGCTTGCTTGCTTGCTTGCTTGCTTGCTTGCTTGCTTGGTTGCTTGGTTGCTTGGTTGCTTGGTTGGTTGGTTGGTTTGTTGGTTTGTTGTTTTTTGTTTGCTGTTGCTGCTGTTGTTGCTGCTGCTGCTGCTGGTGCTGCTGCTGGTGTTGTTGATGTTGATGTTGATGTTGATGTTGTTGTGCTGTTGCTGTTGCTGTTGCTGTTGCTGTTGCTGTTGCTGTTGCTGCTGCTGCTGCTGTTGTTGCTGTTGCTGTTGCTGTTGCTGTTGGTGCTGTTGCTGTTGCTGTTGCTGTTGCTGTTGCTGTTGCTGCTGCTGCTGCTGCTGCTGGTGTTGGTGTTGTTGTTGTTGTTGTTGTTGTTGTTGTTGTTGTTGTTGTTGTTGTTGTTGTTGTTGTTGTTGTTGTTGTTGTTGTTTATTTTGGGGGTGTCCTTCGAACGAAAGGGGGCCATGCACTCCGCATCACATCCATGGTAGTCCACCATGCCCAGGACCAGTCCCATGCGACTCGACCGGTCGGTCCCCGCCTCGGCTGGACGAGCCCCTCGAGACGAGCGCCTCATGCGAGACGAGACGCGACCGGTGAGGAGTGGGATGATGGCCTCGTGGAGCATGCCAAGGCGACCCGCGCGGGGATGAATTCACACCGGAGCAGCGTCAGGCAGACATGGGTCGCTTCCGGGAAATTCCTGGTAGACTTTTGGTTGCTTTTCATACACAGCCGCTTGGACCCGCTGGGTATTTGTACTTTCATGTACTTTCTCAACTGATCCTTGCTTTTGCGAATCCTATAACATCCTATATCCAGGACCTGCATACTGGTTTCTATTGGTTCCATTCTCAGGTTCATTAGATTCAACTGATTCAACCACTTCTGGTCTTGCTAGTTGATTGAGGAGAGCTTGCAACATTATCAACATTCTGATCGTTAAGTGGAAGGTGGCAAGTAACTGAGTAACCAAATTTCGAGATCGTGCCATTTCAATCCATTGTGTGCGATGCTACCCATGTGGCAGGGGAACACCGGTCGTGGCCCCTTTGAAACTCTGCTTAGAGGTGTTCGATCACTGACCGATCGACTAACGTCTTTGACTGATTTTGACCGGATGAAGCAGGAAGTTGTAATACGCGGAAGCAAATGGCCATGTGAATATCATGGAACACCGCAGCCCAAGCAGATAAGTAACCGGTATACATGTGATATAGGGATTGGCATTTCCTCTACCAAATCGTGGTGCTTGGGTACCAGCACTCTATATAGCATCTAAACAGACATCCGTGCCATGCCCCGACATGTCCCACCCACTGAATTCCGGGGCAGGTCCACGCCGTAGCGGCGACCGGCAACAGGTAGGTCTCAGGAGTTCTGCACGTAACTGCTTCACAGAGCACCCAGAAAAGGCGGACCCATCTTGACGACCTGTCTTGAAGCGAATGGACTGGATCGGACGACCTGATAGAGGTTCATCGGTCAACGGTTGGAACATCCATGACCCACCTGGAGCCGACCTGGCGCCGCGCCACACCGGGCGCCGCTTCCTGGTCGGATGCAGGTCCTGGCGCTCTTCAATGAATATCTCACGAAGGCCGCGCCAATTTCCGGGGTCATCAGGCAAAAGACCTGTTGGCATCTTGGTGAAACTCCATGTGAGTTGGTGAATCTGTTCAGATCTGTGGGAGGAAGTCCTGACAGATCTCCAGAATGAGCCGCCTGGATGCCAGACACGACTGAATTCCTTTCGGCAAGAAACACACACACACACACACACCACACGCAGCTGAATGGACTCAGCTCTTACTTGGAGTCAACTCTTGGGGCGTCCATGGAGTTGGGCCGGGTGCTGATTGGGGTGTACAACACCCAGACACGACTCATAGAACTGCCATAGGCCGATCAATTGATCCCCCAAAAGACCACCCCTGGCCTGATCGGCAGTCCTATGGCAGCCTCATGGAGTGTTTGGGATATGGTGTAATATGGTGCCACGATAGACTACCCCGACATAGAGCTCATGGCGGAGAGAAGTTCGTGTTCACAAGGGAAGCGTGCCAGGTATCCTCGGAGAGGTTGAAGTTGTGGTTCAACACAGAGTGGTATTGGTGTTGTTTGCCGGTGGTTTGGAGGCTGCCTTGGTCTCACAGATGGTGGATTGGAACTTGGGCGGGATAGATTGGAAATGAATGGAAATGATTAGACAGACGAGAAGTAGAGAAAGAGCATGCAGCATGAAAGAGCTCGGCTTAAGTGTTTCACAAAAGCTCATGGACCTGAACCAAATGGCAGCATGTTGGTTCCCTCCAAGTTGCCCTAGTTGCCCAGGGTCCCAAAACGAACCGAGGGTCCTATCTGAGCCGAAGTGGGGCACGACACATGCGTGACGTGTGAAGAACGATTCGTTCACCTCCGAGACTCTCCGTTCACCTCCCAGACATGGAGGACTGGAGAGTCGCTTCATCACTGATCACTTTTGACGTTCCAGTCCTTCACTGTGAAATGGGGGGGGGTCATCCGTCATCCCCCTCGGCCTAAAACACTTGATGTATGAACATCCCATACTTTTTCTAAATGGATATCCTTTTGGCCAACGATCAAGGAAATCGTACCTGGAGTGTTTGGGATATGATCCTTTACAAAAGACCCCCGCAAACGCAAACGGGGTGGTTTATGGACACCACGAGTCACCAATGCCAGGGTGATGCTCAGAGTCGATGAGTGGGTGAGATACAACTTGTTATAACACCACCTGAAGTTGACTGTGCCATCTCCGAATCTGGTCAGCTGGTCGTGGTTTGCACCCATTAGGCCCGTTGTACCCATGGTTGTGGGAAGAAAAGACTGAGTTAGATGGACTTCTCATGGGCCCATGGGCTTCTTTACAAAAGGGCAAACCCACCATTCACCCACCCACCCCTGATTTCGGAGTCATCTAGATGACGCTCGGGTCGCCAACCGCAAGGCACGCGCCGCGCCAGGTCTTCCGGCAACTGGATCCTTCTATGTGGCGATGGGTGAGCTATGAGGAGCCGGGACCTGGTGACCTGAAGATCTGGTGGCGGAAGCCGTGTGGTCGCGTTGCCTTGGGTGATTGAATCCACGAAAACACCAGTTTTAAGGGAGTTGAGAACACAAACCTTGGAATGACTGGGCATGATCCTGGAATATGTTCGCGGCGCTGTCCAAGCCAACTCCAAGCGCAAATCTGGACACCTCGCGGAGTGCGGAATCACGGGGGCGGGCATTGGTTTGGGACCTCGCGACAGTCACTTCGAAAGGTTTCCGGGCACGAGCTTTTTGGGATTGTCATATTTGTTCCGAATTACATTGGGGTGGTTGAAAGGAAGTGCTTGGGGTTCCAACTTTGGCTCCATCCCTAAGTGCCCTGGTCGTCCGGTCGTGGATACTTCCAGAGCGCCATGGAGTGCCACGGCGTGGGGTCTGAGCAATCTCAAGGACCACCACAGAAGCACCTGGCCAGCTAGCTTCACCGGGGTGGTATGTCCCAGACATGACTCATGGGACTGCCATATAGATGCCGATCAATTGACCACCCTGGCACCACCCCACCTGATCGGCAGTCCTATGGCAGTCCCATTAGTCGTGCCTGTTTTGTTTGCTGGCCCTTCTTCGGCAGGAGCTTTGTGAGGCTTGGGTCCAGAAGCACTACGACGCGGTGGTCGCTTGGCCGGAAACAGAACGGGTCCGGCAGGCTTTGCGAGAGGTCTTGCTACG